CAGGAGATACATCGCCCTGAGCGATAGTAACCTCTGCTGGGACCACAGGAGGATCTGACGCGCCAGTCTGTACAGAGGGCGCGAGCGCAGACCGCCCTGGTGATTCAGATAGGCCACCACCGCTGTGTTGTCAGTACGAACCAGGACGTGATGGCCTTGGAGATCGGGCAGGAAACTCCTTAGAGCCTGGAACACCGCCAACATCTTGAGACAGTTGATGTTGTTGCCACTCGGACTGATGTACCTGCCAGGATCCCCTTGCAAAGCGGCCGCCCATGACACCAAGTTTCCTTCCAAACTGATAGGGAACGAAGACACTTGCGCGTAACCCAAATCAGACGGAAAGGATTTCCCCTCGGGGAAAAACCATTGGTCCTTAGCCAACACTGCAGGGGTCTCATGTGCAGCAGTCCAGATGGTATTATGCTGGACGCAGCCATCAGGAGACCCAACACTCGTTGAAAGTGTTTTATAGTGATGGCGTGGCCCAACTTCACCCCTTTCACAGCAGCCAATATGGTGTCGACACGTGCTGGAGACAATTGTGCCCGCATCATTGTCGAATCCCATACTACCCCTAGGAACGTAGTCCGTTGGGTGGGCGCCAGCACACTCTTCTTTGCGTTGAGCCTCAGCCCTAAACGCAGCAGATGAGCTAGAACGACATCTCGATGCCGAACCGCCAACTCTCGAGACTGGGCTAGGATGAGCCAGTCGTCGATGTAGTTGAAAATCTGGATGCCCTGGAGCCTCAGAGGGGCCAGTGCTGCATCCATACACTTGGTGAATGTGCGAGGGGAAAGTGCCAGGCCGAATGGAAGAACCCGATACTGGTAAGCCACACCCCCAAAGGCGAACCTCAGGAACTTCCTGTGAGAAGGATGGATGGAGACGTGGAAATAGGTGTCCTTTAGATCTATCGTGACGAACCAATCCTCGGATTGGATGTGCGTCACGATGGCGGGGATGGTGAGCATCTTGAACCTGAATCTCCTCAGAGACCGGTTTAGAACCCGCAGATCCAAAATAGGGCGCAGCCCTCCGTCCTTCTTGGGGACTATGAAGTACCGGCTGTAGAACCGGTGTCTCTGTCTGGGGTGGAGACACGTTCCACAGCCCCTTTCCTCAGCAGAGTAAGAACTTCCTGTCCCAACACCGGACCTTGCTCCAGGCGGACCACAGTCCAAACCATCCCGCTGAATTTTGGAGGGCGGGTTTTGAACTGTAGTCAAAACCCATCTATGGCAGTGCACAGGACCCACGGAGAAAAGCCCCTCGGGGCTGGTGGTAGGTGTCTCGTGTGATCTTCTGGTGGACCCCTGAAGCCCCAGAACAGCAGGGGAGAGCCGCCGAAGATCCACGGTGAGTGAGTCTGAACGCCGCCTGACTGCAGACCCTCGGGGCAGGCAGTACGGCGTGGACTTGATGGTGGCAGGTGCGTCCCGAACGTGTAAACGGCGGGATAACATCACCCGTTGCCACGGCGGAGGGGACCTCGGTCGGCCTCCGGGGAGGGTGGGGGCGGGTGCGGGAGGGGAGAAAGACTCCCCTACCCCGGTCTTCAGGACCTCTTCCCTGAGCTCCGTCGGGACTGGATGACGCTCCTCAGATGGCGTCTCTCAGAAGGCTGAGGTTGAGAGCGCCGCCTCACTGCCCCAGCTCCTCAGGGGGCCCCCCGAGAAGCGACACTCTGCTTCCTCTCCTCTCGGTAGGAGCTCGTAGAGGGAAGGGACCTACGCCTGGCAGCCTCAGCTGCCTTGGGTCCAGACCGGCGAGGGAGGTACTGGCGGAACGCTTTGTACCTGCATCTTAACGCTCCGTGGTTCTACGAAGCTCCACCAGATCTTCCTCAGAGGGACCCCCCCTCTGAACCATCTCCTGTAGCAGGTTGGCTTGGTAGGCTTGAAGCACCGCGATGGTGTGCAAGCTTGCACCTGCCTGGCCCGCTGCCATGTACGCCTTCCCCACAAGCGTAGATGTGGTGTGACATGGCTTGGAGGGTAACGCCGGCTTCTCCAGGGAGGACGCAAGTCGAGGGGAGAGATAGCTCGCAAGCGCATCCTCCACCCGAGGCATCCTCCCATAACCATGGTCCCTAACCCCCATCACATTAATGTAGTTCAGTGATCGGGGTGTGGAAAGCCGTGTAGAGAAGGGTCTGCCCCATGATTTACTCAGTTCATCATGTAAATCAGGAAAGAATAGCAGAGACGTGGCGTGGAGGTGGCGTGTGGTGCTTAAGAAACCTTTCATCAAGCTTACCACTAGCCTGTGGTGTCTGCTCTCCTTGGAGTCGGATTGCTGCAGCGTCTCCGGATCCAAACCGCGAGCAAGAGAAGCCGAGAAACGGGCTCCCGAACGAGGAAAGGAAGCGTCGGAGCCAGCGTATGAAGGTCGGGAAAAAGCCTCAGCCGTCCCGAAATCCTCCGACCGATCACGCTGTGAACCCCATGAGTGAAGCCGCTGGGCTGCCTCAGCGGCCGCAGGGCCTGCACCACGGGGAGAACACATCCGGCCATCCTCGGAAAAGAGAGCCATGCTGTACCTAAGTACCCGCATGGAAAGGGCTTCGCAACGGGCGCAGGCAGCCCCCTCGAGAGCTGCCCGGGCGTACTCCATCCCGAAACATGAGACACACATCTCATGAGAATCTCCATCCGTGATGTACCGAGGGCAAAGAAAAACACACCTTCTGTACATCTGGTTGCCGGACATGCTGGTAGACTTCTTCTTCAGTTAAGACACACTGCTTGTAGCCTGCTGAATTGAAAAAAGCTAATGATGAGTGTGTACTGGTGTGCTTTATACTCCTCCGGTTATTCCGTCACACCTTACCGTTCTAGCATCAAACCAATAGGATTGGAGTGATTTCATTCACGTTCAGACCTGCTACGCCTAGAGGCGTTCCCATAGTGTCGTAACCGTCGCAGTTCGAGTTCCTTCGAAGGGGAACTGCAGAGCGACCGGGCACGGTGCGGACGGTCGTTGATGGTTTCCTCTGGCTGGATGAAGCATGATCTGCTGGCATTTCCTCGCGTCTGGGTCATTCTAGCATACTGTAGCTGTTTCTGCTGGGGTTTCCCAAAGCAGTTTTTCAGGTTTGCTGTCCCAAGTAGGCTACTTATTGCACTCAGGTACATACGATTTCCACATACGCATTGAATGAAACAAACCAAGGTTTTCACGCAGAGGTTGCTTTCCCTCCCGACTCTCCATGGCGGAAACCATTAAAACATGCAAAACCCTCATTTAAATACTGCCACCTCCATTGTGTTTACACCTGTTGTCATCTACGCAAAAATTTTTAGTAAATCACCCATAACAGTTACTAAAATTGCATGTGCAATATTTTAGAATGCACTTGCAATTTATTTATTCGGGATGTTAGTAAATCGGGCCCTAAGCTTGGACAAACTGCCAATCTGTGTGAAAAAGGCAGTCAATGTTTTTGTCTAGCTTTGCTAGCGTTGTAATTAGACTGGCAACCTGTCTAAACTCAGTATATGTATAGGGACAACGTGCAATGTTAATTTTAATTACAGTAACTGCTGTTTAGAGGGGAAAACCAGAGACAATGTCTGCACACCAAAATTATTTTATTACATTCCAATGCAAGACTGTAAGCTACAGCATACTGGCATTGTAAATATTTAAACTGAAAATTAACATTCTATTTTTCACAGTCGTGTTTCATCAACTACAATTCAACATGGTATTACAGCATTTTGGTTTCCTCCAATGAAGGTTTTTGGTAACATTTCAATATTATGACTGCTAAATATGCAACATTTTAAATAAAATGTGCATTAATCAAACAGTTACTGAGTTAAAATGAGAATGTGAAAATACAGGTCATTTGATAAGTCCCTGAGAAAGCAATTTAGTGTCTACATACTCAAGACTGAAGAAACTAAATATTAATTAATGATTTTACACCATTGTAAATTCCCCACACAAAATTTCTTTTTCAGAATCAGCTAAGAAGGCAACAGTAAACTTAAGTCCAACATTCTCCAGAAAAACCTTGCAATGTTGGTCCATTCAACATCTTCACACACCTTGGTACTCATGTTTGCAGTATCCAACATACAGAGGCTCTGCCTGGATGCCACGCCTTGAGGAAAAAGGTAAATAGAACCATCAGTATGTAATAAAGCAGACATTATAAGAAAGAACCCATTCTCTTGTTGAGATATCCTAGCACTACGCCATTCAGAAGGTCCTGGATAGAACAGGTTAATTACCTCAGAAGCCTGCAGCGAAAGTCTTGCAAACGAGGAAATGCCTTGTCCACACTGGAGGTCTGCATCTCATCACTCCACAGTCTCTCTGCTGCAGCACTTGCCCTTGGCCTGTGATTTTGGATGTAACCAGTAATTGTTCTGAATGATTGCATGCAATTATTGCTGCACTTACTGTATTAGATTGACTAGTTGAGTGACTTTTTAATTTCATACCAAAGACGTGGAGAGAGATTGGTGGCATCAACATATTCCCCCCACATGCAGACCTCACCCCCTATCACCAGCTTCTTCTGTTCCTCAGTACCTGTGAGGAAACAGTTAAAGGTTTAGCTTTATTAGCATGATAGGTTTAAGGATAGGCTGATAAAGAGTTTACTACAAATAACAATCTTCACTTCAAATGTATCACACCACTTCAAGTCAAAACTCAGCAAGTCAATGTTTAAATGGGCCTCTATATATAGCAATTCCCATTGACAGCTTTCATCACTAGATATGTAACATCACCAGCACATAACTGAGCCAGGTTATCATAGTATGTAATATTACTTGGCCATGCACACACCAGAAAAGTTCTGTGGCTGCACAGTGTAGTAGTTGCGCCAGTCCTGGCCATAGGAAATGTGGTTGATGTACCATGGGGCAGCCAGCAGGACCCTCATGCCAGCTTTGGTGATGCTGCTGAGCTCTGCCTTATAACTAGCCGGGTCACCCTTCCAGATGTGCAGCACTGTGTCCTTAGGAATCTAAGCAGGGTGACAAACAACATACTGTCTTGCCCTTCTGTACTATTTGCTACTGACCTGATTGATGCATCTTTGTATTGATTCATTTAGTGTTTCCTATTTCAGAAAATACACACAAGAATTCCATAATAAAAACATTTATCAAAAAGGGCAAGCTTTTACCAAGACATGGTTCACATAATTTATACCCTTCCTACGGGCAAAGCATCTGAACACTGGTGGACTCCCAAAATCAGTTCTTACGCTGAAATGCATAGTCTTCCACAAAACCAGGCCAAAAACCAATGAACTAATAGCTTGATCCGAATATACTTTCTCCAAAATATTATCATTTTGGAGCATGCTGTGCACAGTAGATGATGGTACAAACCAATTACAGTACAGTGGGAACTGAATTGCATAAACATATGCTTGCAAAAAAGTTATCTCCCGTTACATACTGTCAAAACAGTCTTCAGTCTTCTGAAGCAAATGCTTTTACAGCTTTTTTTTCTGCAGAGAGCCTACAAATATAAATCTGTAATAGACAATTAGACTATTTTTCATTTTTGTAAAAATCTGTAAAGTTAAGTATATCTCTTCAATTGTATTCTGCTACCTGGCTTGTTTGATGGCAGCAGCAGTAGAAATCTCAAAAAAAAAACACCAGCAAGTTAGGCCAGGAGGATGCACACTTTCAAGGGCAGCAAAAAATCCCTCAAAACTAAGTTCCTGTGCAGTAGTATGCACCATATATGCCATTACATCATTATAGCAAATACATTTCAAACACTTGTAATTAAATATTAGCACGGAGCTGACTGTGGTCTACTTTTGATAGATGACTTTTTCTCTCTTTTTTGCTGGGCCTTTGCTTTGCTGCAGCAACGCCAATGGCATTATTTTTATACTTCTGTGTTTAGGGGGGAGAGTGTTAGCTATGAGGCTGTCCATCAGGCATCACTGTGGGCTTGTAATACAGCAATCACACCTCTCTGTAAATGTGTCCCAATTCCATACTACATACTAATTATAAGTTTAGTACTGGTTGTAGTGTGTTCCCACTGGAGATTTGATTTTAAAGATTGATACACTATGAAAATGTATGGACTGTACACTCTGTATACAATTAGTATACCATTTGGAATTGAACTGGACAACAGTCTTCACTGCCACCTAGTGGTATGGCTACAAATAGAACATTCTGTGTTCCAAACAACCAAAATTTCTGGCCATGTGTATCCTATATTTTACAGGAAACCAGGTTTTATCTGTATATTATCATTAGAGACAAAAACCACAGCAAACAGTACAACTTCAACTAGCCACAGCACACAGGTTCTTTTCTGACCCTTGAAGGCAAGGGGCCACACAGTGTAGTAGCGGGCCCAGTCATGTGTGGGTCCTGGCTGGTCCAGATACCATGGAGAGGCCAGAATCACTCTGAGCCCCGCTTTCGCCACCCTGCGCACTTCACACAGGTAACAGCCCTCTCTCCATACCTCCACCACTGATAAAGAGCTGCGCTGCAACACAATGCTATAGAAAATCAGACTTAATAATAATAATAATAATAATCTAAACTGGTTGTGTGATACATTAGCTTGTCTTATTCAGACAACATACTCTTAACCTAGTACGAGTACGTGGATGACTGCAAAAGTGTTTAATTATATTTAAATGTGAATTACTAGGCTGTGTTGAATTGTTGAACTGAAAAGAGCAGGGTTCCCTCATTAAACATTTACTAAAACTTGTTTTGTAATTTGAGCCAACAGCGTGACAGTCTGCATCTTACAGGACACCTTTCAGTGATTCAGCTGCTACAGAACAAATTTAATAACAAATATTATGACAAAATAAATGCTACGTTCTTTAGACATTTAAGTATAAATATCTCCATAATAGAATACATACTTGGACACAGTGGAAAATATCCAAAATAATATTTTAAAAATAAATCAGTCAGAGGTATTTAAAAAGGACTAATTTTTTTAGATGTCTGCATCTGCAGCAAACATTACAATGCAATAGCTAATTTCACTGGTTTTGACTAAAAACATGGTGGTGGTGCTGTAATGAAATGAAACATGTCAAAATTTTAACTTTTGAAATTTGTGACTATGTAAATGACTGCTTATCTGCAAAAAACACAAAACAAAATAGCCCTGACACAACAATATAGTTTTGTTTAATATCATAGAGGTGTTATTTGTTGGGGTGTGCTTACTTTTTCATGGTAGTCAAACACATCCTGCCACACAATAGAGGTCTTGTTGAGAGCTGAAGTGATATTCACAATGCTGGAAAGAGATTTTAATGACATTTGTAACATGAATGTGTTGGTTGGTGTATTTCCCTGAGCCCACAAGCTATGCAGTACGATCCACTTTACAACCTACTTCTCCATGTAGAATGCTTCCAGTTTGGTGAAGTCTACTCCAAATCCCATCTTCTGCATGAATGCTTGAACATCAGGGTTGGATCTCCTTGGAAGCAAGCAGTGGGAGTCATAATTTAAATGCTGATGGTTAGAGTGGAGTTTTGCAGTGCAAGTTACTTAAACCAGATTAAAGTTATTTATTTATTCATTTATTATCATTTCTAACACATGTACTTACATCAACTACAATATCTGCCTTTTATTCCCTTTCTTTTCTTTTAAGTTTTTTTGCCCAAACAGATGAAAAAAAATAATATTGTAGTATCTTGCACTAACGGGTCAAAACATCAGGATTGGATATAATAATAAAAAGAAAGGTAAGAACCCTTGTGTTGACATTTCTTGCACTTTTTTTCTTCCAAATTCAAAAGATGTAAAAGATGTAGTGATCAGAACTGGGAAACAGTCATCAGGAATTTATACAATCTGTCACATTTCAGCCTACCAGCAGGAAAAGTCAACCTCATCCCCTCCTAAATGGATATGGGAATCAGGAAACACTGATGACACTTCCTTAAATAGTCTCGCCATGAACTGGTAGGTGGAGGGTAACACTGGATTAACAGGACCAAAAGTACCTGAGGGGAAGCCCCCTCTGTAGCACGGCGTCAACAGGTCAGACTGCCCTGGGGAATGAATGGGGAGCAAGTGAGTCAAACTCAAGATTCAGTACGTCTTTTTGCCATTTATAGTCTAGGTCTGGCAGACATGATTCCTACTGAACCAAATGAGGTATAATGCCATTTACTTTATATTGTGGAGATCAAGGAGATGAGATCATTTGGATAAAACTGTTTTTTGAGTTATTGTGGCTCATTTGGTTTTTGAATGTTACCTTTTCCCCAAGATTTGGTGTGGCCGGGTGAATCAAACTCCGGAAGGACCCTTATTCCTCTCAGCCTGGCATATGAGATCACCCTTCTCACATCTGACTGTGTGTAGATATGAGTCATCGGATGGAAAGCCCCCTGAATCAGAGCCAGAAGCTTTTGATCAGGGTGGATGCAACTTTACAGTATTTTCCTTCCTCACAAATTCACATGCAGTAGGCCTAGTTAAAAATCTAGGATAATACTGTATAAGTTTCATTTCTTTAAATGTAAATTAAAAAAAGTCTGACATGGACATGTCTCGAGGGGACTTATTCTTTGTTACTACTTAACAGCTCTCTTCATCCGCATGACATACCTTACTGGAAAGGTCTGGAAAGGTGCGGCTCTGGTAAGGGAAGGAGGGGTCATCAACAATGTGCCAATGAAACACATTAAACTTACTGTAGGCCATTGCATCCTAACAAGAAAGATACATGTTAATACCACTGATGACAAGTGTGATCAATGAAACAGAAGGCTGAAATTCTGTTTTTATATTATCAATATTACCAGAGTTTTCAAAATGGCCTGCACTGGTAAGTAGTGACGTGAAGTGTCCAACAAAATCCCTCTGAATTGAAACCGGGGGAAGTCTTCGATCTCAGTCTTGTTCACAAAATACTAAAAAATAAAATAAATATTTGATTTAACTGATCCATCACAAACATTAATGAAGCTCTATACACAAGATGATTGTGTATTCAAGAAGTAGTGACTTCAGAGGCCTTATGAGTTTGACTTACTGTGCCAAAATCATCTTGATACACCAATTGACTGAAGGTTTCCAGACCTGTGTTTCACCAGAGGATATAAGATATATATATTATCAGCAAGTGAGATACTTAGGTCAGTTAATGAATGTTGGGTAGCATACAAAATACAGTGCAACTTGCTAAATAGACTTTGATGGAACTAAACAGTCCCTTTGCTAACATGTGAGTTTCATTTCTCATTTGTTTATACATGTTCTTCAAAAATGTATTTGTTATGATCACCTCTTACAGCACCCCACACGGTTTCTGCCTTCAGAGATGCTTGTCCTGCAGAGACACTCATTTTGTCTGGAACACAAGGAGAAAGTTAATGCATCGAACAGGTTGGGACGGTGGTTGCCAATGTGACATTTACATGTGGTGCTCTGGCTCACGTGAATGTGGTAATACTTACATCTCTCAGAAGAGTACTCATTTGGGTAACTCTCACAGTCATCATGGTCAACACTGATCTCAACAGTAAATAGTTTATCCTCACTGAATCGCAGAACACCATTTGCTGCTGGACCAGAGGGAAATTATTACACATTGTCACTAGTTGCTAGGTCAAAGTTTTGTAGAAGTGCATACATTTTGACTATGTTACAATCAAACTGCGACTATTCTATAACATATGGTATTTTTGAAAACACAAACCTGTGCTACTCTGGTCTATTGTCATTGTGGGGTTTTTAGAGTAGGTAGGCAGGCCTACACTGCCTGACTGATGAACTGCTGCCTCTACAAAGCCCATTGATCTACTTTAAAAGCCAACCTGACAAACAGAACATTCAAAACAAAACCTGTGAGAACTTTGCTCTATTTTTGTCCATTCATAATGCAGTCTTACACCTGTGAATAACCTGATAATCTATTCTTGATGCTCACACTAAAACGCTAGGGTTTTATGCATATTATAGTATATATTTTATAATGACAACATATAAATAGAGCAAATTCTGGTGTTTGGAAATTATGATATATAATGTTAATACTGTCAAGGTAAATTAAAGTACTTAACGTTTAAGTACCACAGAATTGCACTGTGATTAGTCTATTTACCATTTTGTTAGTAACCTGCTAGCTTACGACTGAACCTGAACTAACAGTTATAATTCCAACTTCACTTTATCACTTACCGTAAGAGTAGTCTGGAAAAATAAGCGAAAAATATCTCTTGAATGCGGCATCCAGAACAGAGCAGCCCTGCTGTGCGGCTGATTGTCTTCCGTAACCAAAGAAGAAAGCCTGTGGGTCCAGTGGGTATCGCTCCGTCGAGGAGATGAAAGTCTGCGGAAGTGGCCACACTCCCTCCACTGTATGTAAGTAAAGTTGGAAGATAACTAATAGTCCCAAATTAAAATTTGGACGAGTGTATCGTCCACAACTACCCATACACACGACGTCCATATCAGTCATTGGCATCAAATGGACTGTCAAACTGAGGCAGTCAGGTGATCAAAAGCATGCAGCCACGTGACTGAGATCACAAGATGCGGATGTTTTTTTTCTGTTCTTTATAATCAAAAGGTGAGGCAAATGCCAATTCAGTTTATATATTCTCAGTTTATATACTTATATATATTTATACTTCTGCGAGAAAGTCTACGGTAGCATAACGTTACTCCAGTTGGAGTAATAAATGGCGATTGAAGCAAATGTAAACTTAAACTGTGGGTCGTTACTAACGTATAACCGTTTTAAACCCTGACCCAAAAATACTATGAAGTAGGTAATAAACTAAGGCCTAATTGCTGATAGAAAATCACAGTTTTACAAAGTCAAAACAACTGAATTATAGTTCTTTTTTTGATTATTTATCTTTCTAAGTATTGGCCTTGCCTAAGTTTTATGAGGGGGAAGTGTTTTGGTAACTTGCAGATGACTGCGTTTAAAGTGTTTAAATCAGACGTATTGTGTGTGTTTTTAAAATTGGTCTTAAACATATTAATGTAAAAATAAAACTATTTATAAATACTTTACCCCCCCCCCCCCCTTTTTTTTTCATTTTCTTGTACAGCCCATCTGACGTAAGGCCGTCGTCGGTTGGTGACGCCGTGTCTCTTTGTTGGCTTAGCAGCGGCGACGTTTTGTTGTTATTTTCGCTGCAGCTGAAAAACAGCCTCGGATAATTTTGGTTTTCGTATTGTTCCGCAATCATATCACACACTGTAGACCATTAGGTGTGCTTGTCACAAGTTGATAACCACCCTAGGAATGGACTCAGACGAGGGCTATAACTATGAATACGACGACGAAGAGGAGGAATGTAGCGAGGATAGCGCCGAAGAGGAGCCCGAGGACGACACCCTGGAGCTCGGAGAGGTGGAGTTGGTCGATCCCGTGGTGGCCGGTGGGGAGCGAGACGAGTGCGGTGAGACTGGTGGAGGTGGCCACGGCCCCGGCGAGGAAGAGGAGGAGGACTACCGCTTCGAGGTTTTGACTGCCGAGCAGATCCTCCAGCATATGGTGGAGTGTATCAGGGAGGTCAACGAGGTCATCCAGGTAGGTATTTTGGTATGTCAGTGTCAGGAAAGACCGGGGTCCAGACTTTAGTGAAGCGTAAACAGGCCATGGACGTTAGCTTAGCCATTAGCCTTGTAGGAGTAGTTTACTTGCTGGAAGTTGGCAGTTTTACAATAGTGATTAGGTTTATACAAGACTTAAGTGTCTTTTAAATGTAGCTTTCTTTTGTGTGGGTATCATTTAAAATAGATGTGGACAATGTTAAATATGTACATTTAAGTAAAGATGTCCAAACGAATTGTGCTCCAGGAAGTAGTCTAATCCCAACTGAGAAGTTGGTAGCAACGTTTGCTAAGCTAATGTTAGCTTGAAAGTTAGCTAGATGCTAATTAGCCAACTGTAACCGTTAACATAGCACCTCACCGGAAAAGCATAACGTCTTTAGTTTTAACGTTAGAATTATGGCCATAACGTTAGCTAGAGAACTGCCAACTCATACTTGACGACAGTAGGAGTTCGTTAACCAGGCGATTGAAACTTAACGTTACAAATCTAGTAAAATACATTAGCTTTAACATTATTTTAATGTTCCACGAAAGGCTTGGTCATCGAGTTGGTTAGCAAGTTATATGCTAGGTTACTTGACGTTACGTTAACATTAACAAGCTAACTTATCTTATGACTTCAAAAACAGTTTGGGTTTATCACACAAACAAGAGCTAGCAGCAGCTGACGTTATAGATCAAATTAAATCAGAAAGTCAGGAGAGTCCTCCGGCTTATCGTTAACTTGGGCCTCCATTTCCTTTCACTTAACTAACGTTATAGTTGGTAAGAATAAAATGAAAATAAGTAGTTTTTTAGAAGTAGCGTTGCATTATATAAAAGAAAATGTTTTGAATGTCAAAATCACTTTAAACTAGCCCTAAAACTGAAATGAATAAAATATCAAAACTGTGGATGCCGTATACCCGCATGGCAGTTTCCTCAGCAGACAACTGACATGGTGATTCTTCTAAAATAGTATTTCAGTTTAACTTAACATTACCTACTTAACTGTCAGATTTTTGCACCACCAACTTTTTTTAAAGTAAAGACCTGCATTTGTTTTTCTTGATTAAAGTTTTGAATACTTTTCTTATAAATGTCTATAGTGACTGTGCCTTCACATGTCAAGAGTGACTGGTTATGCCTGGCCTCTGAAGACGCTTTAGGGGTAAAGTTACAATTGACTGATGGATTTTTGTCATCTGTAAAGACTTTGTAGGCTTTCAGAGATTCCACAGAAAGCCATAACAAGCAAAACTTGCATGGACATTGTCCATGAATATACTGAGAGTTATTTCTAATATTTCATATAACCCACTTATATTAGTGAGGGTACACCAGATATTAGGAAGACCTCTCAGTAAGTCAATAAAGTTCACAAGCACCACAAACTACAGCCTCTGAAATGAGTATAAAATTTAATTACCCCGTCACTTATATAACAGTTAGGCTTTGTGGCAGTTCAGCCTTTTCACCTGTCTGACATTTCGGTGACGACGCGTGTACATGTGACTGTACCGCACAAATAATGATGTCTAAACATAACCAATTCTCTCATTATCACCAAACACAAAAGTTAAAACCATATTATAATAGTATAGTGTCATGATTGAATTAGCCTGTGATTCCCATCCCTAATTACTCGAGGATGGAGTAAAATTAGCCTTGTGTGTATGAAAAAGTACATCAAGGCAATGCACTTATCTAACGTTGTAATTGCTGAGAACAGTCCCTGTACTTTGCTTAAACAGTGGAACCATGACACTGTAGCAGAATGTACTCTACGGTCGCACCATCCTTCCAATTTCAAAATGGGATGTAAAATCCTTATTCTCATGCAATATACAAAATATGTTTTTACTTAACTTCTTTGAAGTTGACATGTATCATCTAACCCAGGTATTCCAGGGAGACCCCTGAATGCTTGTAACCATAGTAAAATTTTACTGTTCATACAGTTAAAAATATATGATAAGTAGGGCTGCCCCCGACTAAATATTTTCCTAGTTGACTAGTAATTCAAGCCACTAGTTGACTCATCATCGCACGTTTATGATATTAGTTTGATCATTTAAATGTTTTTCAGAGAATCAGAAAATGGTTTTGAGTTTCTGGACTGAGAAATAATTTTATAAGTAACATTGTTAACTGTGCTAAATTACAAAGAAATAAAAAACTGTAATAATGAGCCTTTAAAATATAAATTTTACAAGGGGCATGAAGCGAGGGGCCTGCTAATGACATGCAGTTCTGATTATGTCAGAACAACCAGCAAGGAGACTGAACATTTTGTTAAGTTATTTCAAGGTTTAACATAGTATATATGATGTAACTAAACTTCCAGTATAGCTATACTGCTGATGTTCACATGCAATGTGGTTATATTTTTCATTGCCCGGTGGCATTTATCATAGTTAATTAGTTGTATTTCACACTCCCTTTTGTTGGGCACAAAGTCATAGAACACAGCCCTGGAAGTTGCTGGCTGGCAAGCAAGCAAGACACAGACAGACCGAGTGAAGCTAGCACATCAACTTCACTGTTTCCCCTAGGATGAAGGTGCACGCGTAGTTTGTCTGAATATAAAACCCCAACACAACATGTCTTAGCAGCATTGCTCTTTTGTCCATGAGCATGCAATGCACATTAGAATAGCTTAAAATTTCAGTGTTTTCCCATAGTTTTATGTGAGCTTTAGTTGAATGTTTTGGTGGTGGTCCTGGAAGTCATGGTCAGGGGGTTGATGGTTTTTGAGATTCCTCCCCCAATAGAATTTTATGTTTTACTATGAAAAATCATTTTGGGCCATTATTTTCTCTATATCGCCAATAAAAATCTCAAATATTTGGAAAAGCTAGAGCAGATAAAAATAAATAAATAAAGATAGATCAGTGTACTATGGAGGAACTAGGGCTGAATGATTTGGAGAAAAGGTCTTAATTGCCAGATATTATTATTTAAAAAAGTTCAGCTAAAGTTCAATATTTACTGCCAGTCTATTTTTGACAGAAGAGACATCAAGCAGCACAGAGCAGATCAACCAGGCAGGAAGTTAGACATTACATTACATTAACTCATTTAGGTGACGCTTTTATCCAAAGCGACTTACAATTGCTATACATGTCAATGGTGCATCGGTCACAGTGGGGGATTGAACCTCTCACACCAAAGGCAGGCGTCTAATCCATTGCGCCATCACCACCACCCCATAGACAGACACAGAACGGCATAGAGAATCTAGTCGATTTTTAAAATAAAACACCCTGTGCAGACTCCTGATCGTATATCAACAAAACGGACAAAAAAAGAAACAATTAAACTACATAGCGTACCTAATCACAATAGAAGCACAAAAATCAAGGACAGCTGAACAAATTAACAAAATCTGACCAAGTCAGCAACATTAGGCAGGCAAAACGCTCTTATTCTGAAATGCTCCATGTGGGATATGTAACCTGCACTGAGCGGAACGGAACGTGCTGACAGTGAGCTGTTATCCTTAGTGGAAGCACACAAAATGACAAATTAACAGCACATCAACTACGTTGGGCAGGCTGAATAGTCTGCTGAAAAACTTCAGTGTGAGTTGACGCCAGACAAAACCACAGCCGCTGCCTGTGTCAGTTCGGCTGACGACATTGACACATTTTCACCCAGTTTCGTTTGATTGGTGAGTAGGACCGTAACAGGAGGCGCATGTCGCTTATGATTGGTGAGCGGTCTGTCACACAAGGATGACAACGGAATCAATCTGTAACTGCACGACTGTTTATAACGGGCCAGATGCGCTGTATAATTAACCTATTAATTGCCGCCCTCACGGTTAGCTAATGGCGTTCTTTCAACTCGCAGTTTTGATTTAAAAACGATTAATCGTTCAGCCCTAGGAGGAACTACAACAATAGATTTGGGGGAAGTAATTTGTTCTGTTAATTATGATGCTCTC